AATTAATTATTTAATTAATTAATTAATTAATTTTTCCACTTAATTAATTAATTAATTAATTTTTCCATTTAATTAATTAATTAATTAATAAAAAATTTAACATTGAGAGAATTCAGCTGCCTTGGCGGAGGTCTGTACTCTCCGAGTGCTCTAGTTATGTATGTAGTTACCAGCATAGTTGGAGTGGTAGCTCGCACGTGGGATGATGGAAATGCATAGTCAGCAATCTGCAAATCTGGATGTAACACCTAGTAACACAGTAACACAGATGATAATTGAGAAAGCGTGTCCAAATGCCACGGATAGCGTTCCTTAACTAAACTTAATTGTATATCCTATGTTTGTCTATGTGCCTGTGTGTCTGTGTGTCTGTGACTTTGTCTGTCTATCTGTCTGTCTGTCTGCCTGCATGCATGCCTGCCTGTCTGTCTGTCTGCATGCATGCCTGTCTGTCTGCCTGTCTGCATGTCTATCTGTGTGTCTCTATTTCTGTCTGCCTGTCTGTCCATCCATCTGTGCGCCCGCTCGCTAGCCTGACCGCCTGCCCGCCTGTCTGTCCATTGGTCGGTTCATTCATTCAGCCAGCTGCATCTGTCTGTCTGTTTGTCTCTCCGCTACACATCAACTCGACTATTCTTTCTCAACATTGCCCCTCCATTAGCACGACTATACTCACAGTGAAAAGTGAGCGAAGAGATCTGGAGTAGGCAGGGTCTGGGATCTTCGGTGCAGTGATGTGCTCAGGAAGGCTTATGCTGCCGCCATCCAGATCCGCAACAATCACATCCAGCTGTGCAGCAAAGATTCACAGCCAATTACAACTCTACAAAATCTCTTGATCATAGCATATTAGTAGCAATCTAATATATTAGATTGCTACTAATATGCTACGATCAAGAGATTTTATATATAAGCTAAGTTGAATCTAATCTAAATAATCAAACACAGTCATAGAAAAAAATATAGATAGGTGAAAAATACTACATTACTAGCGGATCCATATGAATCAATGAGGACTCACATGAAACAATATGTTGAATCAGAACTGGATTATGCATTATTATTATTATTATTATTATTATTATTATTATTAATATTATTATTACTATTATGTCTTATTACACTTGATAAATAATAATTAATATCACTCTCATAACACCAGCCATCAATCCATGTAGTATCAACATGCATAAAATGGCTTTCAGGATATCACACTCCCACTTTTTTGCAAACAATCATGGCTGGGGTGGGGTGGGGTGGTGGAGAATCCCCAAGGGCAGGAGTTAGGCTTGACATCATGAATTGATAGGGGGTATACCATCCGGAGGACGGGAAGGGGTATCCAGTCAGAATGATAGGAGGCTGCATGACATCTGGAGGTTGGTGGATGTTTGGTAGAAAGCGGGTGGGAGGGAGAGGCATGATGTCTGGGAGTGGCCGGGTATTTTATATCAGGATGGTGGGAGGCCGGTGTGTGTGCTGAGGGTGATGGATTCTCACCATGTCTGCAATGTCATTCTTCAGTGATGAGTGAACACCCATGATGAACGGCGTCGGTGTGCTTAGAACCTCGAGCAGTGCGGCCGGCAGCAGCGGAATATACACATAGCTGAAGGCAGACACGCATACGCGGCGTTACCACGGTGATGCCTCGTGCACATCGCAATGACAGAAACAAGAATGTTAAAGCCGCGCTATGCGCATCCAAGCGCTAATTTTTCCAGTACTAGACTAGCAAATACTTCTTGTTATGCATAATCACACTACCTTATGGCAAAATAAACTCTAGTTCCTCCCATTTCAGTGCGCGTTTGCTTAAAACCCACAAGAAAGAGGTGCGAAATCTGGTAATCTGGCGCCAACGCTAAATTGTTTGCCAAACAATTTCGCCAAAAATCGGTTAGGTGACGTCACATATTTTTATCTTTGCTACACCCGTACCGCTGTACCGCAGCACCGCTGCACGGTTGCTTGGCAGAGCAACGCGAAAGTGTCAACAACATCGGAGAATTTGAACAACATTGGAGGTATTTTTAAATGCCTTTTATAAGACATTGCGCAGTGAAATGGGCGGAACTAGAGTTTATTTTGTCATAAGGTAGTATGATTCTGCATGACACGAAGTATTTGCTAGTCTAGTACTGGAGAAATTAGCGTTTGGATGCGCATAGTGCGGCATTAAGCAAGATGTTTTGCCTTTGAGTTATAATGTCTGTATATCACTCATTGCTAATGCAGTCGATACCGCGCCTACTCCAAAACATGATGCTTCAGCGGCTGAATAGTGTAGAGCCAATAAAATGTGCAAAGCAATTTATTCAGACATGATACTTCACCCCTTTCTCTCTCTCTCTCTCTCTCTCTCTCTCTCTCTCTCTCTCTCTCTCTCTCTCTCTCTCT